TCTCTTTCGTAATTTCGGTTTGGCTTTAGTAGATAGTTTTATGGATGATTTATATACTCTGATTCGTGATAAAACAAAAACGCAAGAAGGTAGTCATCGAGTAGCAGCTGAAATCGTTGCTGGAATGATTCGTGGTTCCAAACACTGGACATTAGATATGGTATGTTTCAGAAAAAAAAAACATTTTATTTAATTGATTTTTGTTTTTTCTTGTAGCTTGATGAACTCTGGAAGAAACTAACACCATTTCTTAATGAAGTTTGTACGAATCTTAGTGTAGAAACTGTTTCGCATTGGGGTTCATGTTTTAAATATGGCATGGTTCGTTTCCAATAATTAAATCTTATATTTATTTATTTTTGTCTTAATAATAGGAAGATGAAGATCCACGTCGAATGTATCGTCCTATTGAATTTCTTCGTTCATTAATGAACAATCAAACCATGGGAAATACATTTCTTGAAACATCACAATGGTCTCTTATTCAAAGATTAGATAATTTTGAATGGCGTATTCCTGCAATATGGTGTGCGATTAATCAATATGCTAAAGAATTTCTTGATCATCCATATAAAGCAATACGAGAACATATTGCTAGGTAAAGAAAATTTGAATTATACATTCATAATTATATAACTTGTTTTTTTTCTTTCTTTTTATTAGTGTTTTAGGCACATCATTGAGTTTTGACATACGATTATCTAATGGTCAGTCAACACGTCATCCAAATGTTGATCAATTTATTGATAGTATTCGTGAACGATTAAATCAAGCAATAAAAATCTATGAAAAAAAACCATTAGGTAAAACTATTTAATTTATTTGATATTAAAATCAAATTTGTTTCAATAGCAAATATATCTGGACAAAATGTTGAAATTGATTCAGAATCTCGTCGAGCTGTAAACTATATTGAAACAGGTAGAAAAATAAAAATAAACTAAATGTGTAACATTGAAAATGCACTGCTTTGTCTTTTTTGTGTCTCACTTAGTAATTCAACTACACACTCAGATATTCTCTGGTCATATTCAGCCAGTAAAACATGCAATTATTCGTATTTTTCCTCATGTATAGATAAATATTATATATTAAAATTCATTTTATTATTAAATATGTCTTAAATTGTTTAGCTGTGTGAAATCGATAGTATTGTAGCCAATGATGATTTTATTCGGAAAAGTTCAGTCATTTGTCGTATGTGTTTGGCTGTAACTTATTTCGATCCTTCTTTTATTGAAGAATTAATTGAACAACTAGAACAAGTAAGTTAAATCATTTGATAGATGACTC